CCATATCCCATATCGGCTCTTACCCGTAGTGCCATTTCGCCATTTCAAGTTTTTAACACTCCCTTACCTAACTGCCAGGAGCCCATAACCTGGTGCGTGCTCCATGCGAAAAGCCAAAAAAAATTATGACTGTGTGAATGTCAGGACACCAACTCCGAAATTCTGATGGCACGTCAATCGTATGGTAGAAGAGCTCTCATTCCGATTACTATATATAACGAAAAAACAACAACAACAAACATAAACAACTCTTGCTCTTGATTGGATTAGAGTAAAATTCGTGGACTCAGAACCAGTCCCCTATCACTTTCCATTTTTCCATTGAAAAGGCTCCTGGTTGAGGTATAGGAAGAAAAGTACAGCCAAGGGTGAGAAAACATAGTGAACAAAGCAAGCCAAGTGTGGCTTAGCCTGCCAGCAGGCTCACGTTGGAGCACAGACTTCTTCCCGCTGGATCACTTTGCTCTCCACCGCTTGCCCGTGACTCAAAGGTGCGCCTGCTCGCAGCCTAAGTGTGGCTTTGAGAAGCCTGTAGACTTTTTCTGATGCCACCTGTCTGATCACTTGCAGATTTTTTTCTCTCTACCCCAATAGACCATTTTCATAGTCCCAGTATTAGACTGGAACTAGCTTGCAACGGAGGCTAAATATGCAGAGAGTCTTTTCAAATGTAAATGGGATTTTAACCTCTTTTTAATGATATTTACAGTATCCCCTGCATGGGCCTCCATTGCAAGCTAGTTCTAGACCAATACCAAAAATACAAATACGGTTTATTTGGAGCCTGGTACCAGGTTAAATTGAGCCAAGTCAAATTTCTTTCTTGGAATGACATCATGTTCAGGCGAAACAGCCATGCAAGATTAAAGGGCCAGCATCTTCACTGGCATGACAAAACATGGTGACGGTGAGCACAGCATTACTAGCAGAAATACTTAATCCCTGAAGGCATTTTATGCCATCTACTCACAAGGTCCTAAACTCCTCACAGAATGGTTTCCCTGTTTAGTTCTGTGATTATATTTAAGTGGCCTAGACTTCACAAATAAGGTAGGCTATATTACCAGCCGCTGTTTGAGAAAGAAGCTTGTGCTCATCCCCCGAACTCAGGGGAGGGACGTAGACTGGACTCAAACAAGTGGTAGACATCACGCCTTCAAATGATGCTAGTTAAAGAACCTGCCATTAAGATGATGAAATATTAACCGGAAAAAAACCTGAAGAATCTGTTCTTCAATAAAATTGACCTCATACCCATTTGATCAAAGGTTGGATAGCAATGCTGAACTAGCCATGCCATGCAGTAGGTAACGATTTATCTTGTGTTTAACACTTTTTCTAAGCATCCTTAAACAACTAGTCCCTCAGGCGATTTGCTAAAGGTTGCTTCTCAAAACACATACTGTTTTCACATAATGTTGCACCCACTTGACTCGAGGGAGTTTTTTGACCTCAATTTTTGAGTTAAAAAGTCTGCAACAAAATCCTGAATAATATTGAAGTCTCAAGATTTTGGATGTCAGACAGTTTAATGCCCCTAAACCAGAAATCTCATAATCCAAACATGATTTGACAGGTTTATGACCCAAACTATTCAATTAAAACAAGAAGGTATGTGAAAAAATAAACTTAAGATCTTGAAAGCATTTCATGAATTCCTTGTTTAATAAAAAAAATTGTTTGTACAATGTATGGAAACTATGCTTTATTTTTATATATGTTCAGTCTCCAGAAAGATATACACGAGTTTGTAAATATTGTTTTAAAAAGATCAAATGCGACCAGATTAGCCCCCTAAACCATTTCTGAGAGCTTTGGCCCTAAAATTAATATCTTATTTATTTTTCAATATGTACTCTGTATCCACAATTCTGACAATCTTGGTAACATTGCTGAGATATAGAGCTGAATATTGGTATAAAAAAGATCTCATACATTTATGCAAAAAAAACCCTCTTTTAAGTGATCTAACCTCTAACAAAACCACGAAATTGAAACAGAATAAAAAGACTAAAAACCCTCTGATACACAAAACTATACAAAAAAAAGTCCTTCTTCTAGTGCTTCAATGTTTGTAAATACGAATTTTACACCATTTACTGAAATAATTTAAAAAGAACAAGATCCAGCCCCCTAGTGGTCAAAATTTACGTATGAAGAACAATACTAAATGATTGCTTTGCTTGAACCATATACATATAAATTGTGTGAATAAATGTGTATACAACCACAGTTGGCTGTGTCCCAACATGATTAACATATCCACGAACTTCAGCAAACCGTAGAATACCGCTTCAATAAACCCGATCAAAGCAAGATGTATTTTTTTGTGTTTTTCTGTAAACCTGTACAAAAATGTGTACTGCCACAATCGCTCAAATTAAGAAACAAAACACCAACAGAAAATGTGCCGTTGTGTTCTTGAAAAGTCAACGTCTTTCAAAACAGAATATAATTTGTTTACTTCCTTCGTTCACCACTAAACACCTTGTGGGGCCATGTTAATATTCTGCGCAACTAAAATAGCTGTACCTTGTGTTCCGTCCATTCGGACTGCAACAAATTCGTGCGCGACGCTCATATCACTCAAATAATGTTCGGTAGCATCGCCGGTAAAATATTCATTTTCAGACAATTGATTCTGTTCAACAGCAACCGCAACACCAGGTAGATCTACTCCAACAACCGCCGAGCGGTCGCTTTCACTAGTTTTAATCTCTTCCGGCCTTGCTTCGATGGTTGAAATATCTTGAAGTTCTTGACGAGGAATCGGCCGAATTGCAATGGGTTCCGCACCCTGCACTACTGTGTTGCTTTTCACAGCCTTTCCGTTCGAATGTGTCCTCACATGTTTCGACAAATGATCACTTCTCATAAACCTCTTCCCACATTCCGTACAAGCAAATCGTTTTTCTCCCGTGTGAGTTCTCCGATGCCGCTGTAATTCGTCGGAGCGTGTGAATCTTTTCCCGCAAAACAGCCAATTACATACAAATGGCCGCTCGCCCGTATGCCAGCGAAGGTGTGCTCGCAAATGCGACGTCTTCCCATAAACTTTACCGCAGCCGGGAATATGACAAATATGCTGCTTTCGGCCATCCGCCGTCCTTCCTTCACCTTCTCTACAATTCGGACAAGTGCAAGCGACACGGCGAAGACGCCGATTACTTGTAGGGCTCACGTTTACCTCGCTCATGTTGACATTTTGTGTTTCTTGTGAGGTTTCAGGCTGAACTTGAACTTGAATAGTTGTGCTTCCGTTTGTGGCGTTCGATGGCGCCGAGATTACATTTACAGCGTTTACTGCGGTAGAGAGCCACTTATTCGGTTCTGAGCTTTCTTGCGTTAAAATAATCTGTCCTTGTGGTGTTCTCGTTACTTGGACATAGGCAGGATTTTGTGATGGACTTTCCAACGATGCTTCCTGCGGTTGTTGTTGTAACATCGGCATACCTGCGTCGTTATTCCCAACCGTTGTGGGCGACATCACATACTGATGCGAAGGACTGCTCGTGCTTTTCGCCCAAGATAACGGCTTTCCTTGCCACCACTGCGCCCCGATTCCACCGCTTGAATCCCCAGAGTCCGATTTTATGGCCGTCCAAGCGCCTTCGACCGCTTTGGATAAATCGTATTCCGGCGCATAAGAGAGGTTTACACTTGCCTCGCTGTTTGTCGCGAGCGATTGTTGTGAAAGTGTGCCCACGTTTTGTACTCCCGGACTCGTTGTAACGGCTGCATAATACATCTGGCTATGTTCCACCTGGCTCATGGAGGTATATAAACCGGAGTTTGGGTGACTTTGAGCTTGGAGAACGTTCGCAGTGCTCGAATGGAACACATCATCGTTCGCGTGCGGCGAAGCATCTTGTTCGGAACTCCACGAGGTCGCGAACTCTTGGTGTGCTACGAGTTGGTTTATCGGCGCTTGAAGAACGTTATTTGGGGCCTCAAATCCTTGTCCGATCTTGCTACAAGTCGCAGCTAGCAGAGCCAGAGGAGAGGGTTGGATTTCCTGTCGATTAAAAGCGTTTGGTGGGCGGGCACAAGAAAGGGGGTGTGAGTTTTAGAAGATGAGGACATGTACCGTGTTCCAAATTACAATGCGACACAAAAGGCATACTTCATATATTACCTGAGAGTTCTGAGGTGGTTGAATATACTCCATCTGTCCTCTATGCAACGTCATGGCGGTCATTACGTAGAAATTGTTCGATGATTACTTTTACAAAGCGTTTTTTGTGTCCCCGAAACTAGTGTTTTCACATCCGCGAGCCCTCTTTTTCTGACAACGGTAGGTTCGAGAAGACAGCTGCTTACAGAAGCACTCAAATGGTTTCTTTGCACTGACCAATCAACGAGTGCCTTACTGAATTTGACTGACAGTTCTGAATGCAATTGTAAATGGAAACCATGTGCTTCAGCTGTCATCTTTCGCCGCTTCGTAACGAGGCAATTTAGGCTGAAGAATATTTCAAAATTAACTTCTCAGTTCTCAAGTGTTTATTAAATCTTTGTTTCACAAGTTATTTTATGCGGTGGTGATTAATGAATTCTCGTTTAAACAACCATAAATAATGTAAGTGATTTTATTCACATGGAATTCGCTTCCTTGCTGAGTTCCGTTGACGGACCCCACCCTAGATTTTTCCGAACTCACTCAATTTTAATATTTGATGCTTTCAATCGTGTTTTGTAAGCGGCTTATTTCATCTTAGTGAATTATCTTACCAATTCTGCTATTTTGATGCCACTAAACAAAGCGCAAATTCGATAATTGTGTATCAAAACACCACAGACTATTTTTTCGATGGCAGATGTACATGTTTTCAAGAAATTCCAAATACTTCAAAAATTTGAACCGTTTTGAGAAAAAACAAAACCGAAAAAAATATATATAAAATCTGGCTGAATATTCACATGCCGGGTTTTGGTATTCGTAGTCTCGTAGACGTTTCTTCGCGTGACGAGCCTTTATTTCCGGCGTTTAATTGTTTATTTTGGCTTGCTCCGAGTAATTCCATCCTCTACTCATAGTGATTTAATACCTCTTCCTGGATTACAACTTAACATGTGAAGAAAATGGTGCGAAAAACATTAAAACGGACATGTCTATCAAATGAGTAAGTCTTAGAGATGTCTTAAGGCAAGGAAAATGCTGTTTTCCGGTAGCCGTTTGGTGAGGCTTCGTTTGAATAATTGGTTGGACAATTAAATCTGCACTATTTTATTTCCGTAGGAGATTGGTCAGTACTTCATCATTGTTCATGTATTGCAGGTAAATGAGTCACACTTAGTTAAATTAATTAAAGATTATTTTGTATGTGTGTGTTCACTGCTCGTTGAAACTTCCTCATTTCTGCGTCGGAGAAGGAAATCGGCTTAAAATGCTCCACAGCGGAAAAGGCTTAAGATTGACAGGCTCACACCCCGGGCCTCACTCTTTTACACTGGCTTCTGATCTTTGTGCGGGGAAGAAATCAAACGTGAAATGGTTTGTAACTACGTCACGGTTTGCAGATATCTTGAAAAGTTTAGCCTAAATTATTCAAGTTGGTCGTAGTCCATGTTAATCTTCTCCATCCCGAGTGTAGCCTGCAGTGC